TGAGACTACCTTCCGGAAGGCAAGGACGAGTGAAATGTAATGACAGCACGATGCCTACTCTTCTCATTGCTCGAAAATTCAACTACCAATTAATCATCACTTACGCAACCTTTGATGAACAATTTTCGTTCGTAAATAGGTTTTCTATATTCTCAGCAAATCATATATATGAGGTGTATTCACCCTATTTTTGTTAATGTGATACAGAACTGGTGGTTTAATTTTACCGCACGCATTTGACCAGGCCTTAAGTTTGCAATGAATTGAACATAGCCTTGCTTTCAAAAGGGTATTCTCATTCAGGGTGGAAAGCAGTTTCGACCTCGTCGAAGTCGCATCAGCACCCGCAGCGGGACTCGAACTCGGGTAGTGAAGCGCACAGTATAGACGCGTCAAGCACTACTTCACAAGGGCAGTCGTGGCTGTGCGGCGTAGTGGCTAAGGTGTTGAGACTATATGCTGTACTACAGCAACCCGGGTTCGAGTTCAGCGGGGGTGCTGATGAGACCAATCTAGGTAAAGTCGAAACTACAGACCACTCCCGTCTGGATGAGAATACCTTTTGAGAGGGAAGAAAAGGTGAAATTCAATTGAAAAATGAGGATTATTAGAAAAATAAACTACCAGTCCTTTATCATTTTAACGAAATAGGGTGAACATATTTCATATATATATCGCTAGAACTATAAGCTTGAGGCACACGCCACGAGTTCGAGTATGTGCAAATGAGACCCAAGCCCGGATGGGAAAGCCTTGTGGAGGCAATGGAAACTAGATGGCATTCCCTTGCAATTTGGGAAATCCAACAATCATCTTAAACGAAGCAGGCCGGTCAAGTTCTTTTGCGACATCAACGGGTATGGTTGCGGCCTACTCACTCAGCGAAAATATACATGATGACCGAGGTCCCTGCTAGAGACAATTGTGTGAAACCTAGTGACCCTAGCACACACCTCGATTATGGTTGGAGAGGCTGCTCGAGATGGTTGTCGCGACCTCAACGCGGACGGTTGGCCCACTTCAGATCCCGACCGGAGCAGACTCCTCTTTCCTCCTTTTGTCCTGACGTCCAGCAGCTCGTTGCCATGTTCCGTCGACTCTGCTGCCCCCAGTCCGGGCTCTGCATGATGTCTACCGACGCCAGGGCTCTGACTCCATATCGCCATCAAAGGCGTACTGAACCGCTGGCTCGCTTTGGCCGTCGCATCTTTTGCAGCCGGTCGGCAACGCATTGGCAACTGAAAAATCGGACGTGTAATCACGGCCTCAGCAGCCAGTGCGTTGTTGCCTTGACTTCGATCCCTCATTGTCTCCGGTTGACCTGAGCGCGGTCTGCGAGATCTGCCGAGGAGACGCGTCAATCGCAGACTCTGAGTGGAGTTGACTGAAGCCGAGTCTGTTGTCAGGCCTCCGGGAGGCAGCAGGAAACAGCTGGAGCTGGGATCCGGCAAGCTGAGATGCCAGGACTCGCGCAAGCCCGTCACGATGGCCGCTGTCGTTGTGTCCGAATCCTTGATCGGAACCGCGGTCGCCTCTGCCTCGGACTCACTCGACAGTTGGCTCGTCGTTGAGCTGAGCAGGCTGGATCTGTTCAGCCCGACTGGCGCTCTTTTCTCCAACTGGCCGTCTAGACTCACGTCGAGGGGACAGGGGACACGACGGGCTGTATGACGCAAAAATGGCGTCCGTCCGGACCGCGGAGGACTGGCCGGAGCGGAGTTGGCCCTCCAACCGGTCGTCATGGCGACCGAGGTGACGCCAGGCGACAGGGACTTTTTCGCGGGCCGGCGCAGACGTATGAGTCTGGAGAAGAGGCCTCCGGTGGCAAAGGAGGGCGAAGCGGAGGCTGGAGGAGGACTGGTGTTGGTCGGCCGAAGATGGCGTCGAACGTCTGCAATGCCTGAGTCCGATTCCCCACCGCAGGCTGCGGCAAGACTGTCTCCGCCCCTGACAGAAACGTCGAACGATAGGGCTGCAGGCCGGCGATCAGCGAGCACTGTGGCCGCCGGTACCGTTGGTTGTGCGGGTGCTCGCACAGTCCGGTTCATCGGAACGTCGGACTCTCTGGCAAGGACCTCGGATGCCGGCGTGTTGGGCGTTGACCAGACGAGACCGGCCACTGTTGTACTGGCCATCGGGCTGTTGGATACACCGAAGAGTATCGGTTGAGTTGTCGGACAAAAGATTGCCTGGCTGCAAGCATCGGAAGCCAGAGTATTACTCCTTTCTGCTGTGAAAGTCAGGCAAACGTTGAAAATAATGGTAGAGCAAAGTTGACCTTTAAAAGCTACTCCTAACCCTAACCAATCAGGCCCATGATCGCCATTGTAGACAAGAAAAGTTAATGGGTTTCGATGAATCTACCGAGACACCTTTGAGCGGGGACCTCCATGAACGCTAGTTTC